CGCCCTGCACGCGCGGAGGCCGGGGCTGAGGAGCCGGGGTTCTGACCCCGCGACCCGCATCAGGTGACCCCGCTCTGTACACCACAGCGTTTATTGGAGGGGACGGGCAGGGCGGATTTACAGTCACGGAGACGGAGACGCCAGACACACCCCTGCCCGGGACAGCCCTCCTCGCCCAGGCCCGCCCCCCTCCCGTCCTGGGGTGACTGTGAGGGGAGCACCCCGGATCTGGAGTCATTTAGCCCCTGAGGGACACAACAAATGGTCACTGAGAAACTGGGGGCAGCCCGAGCCACCCAGAAGATAAAGTGCAAGGATTTGGGGGGAGGGGGGTCCTGAAACCACCACAGGGAAGAAGTGACAGCTTCCAGCCCTGAATTAATAGACTTGAGCAAAGACCTGAAAACCGAGTCAGAAGAAGGGCACGGGGAGCAGAGCCACCCCGGCCGTTTCCCTGGACGTCGTGCTAACCTAGGGTAAGGACAAGGCCCGGCAAAGTGCTGGTGAGGGAGGGAGGGAAGGGGTGGGGGGACTTGAAACCGCCATTTTCCCGCAGAAACGCTGGTGAGAATCAGTCCTCGGAATGGCGGGCTTGGAGGTTGGTTGAACCACCTTGGTTAGGGGAGCCCTGGATCTAAGGGGGGATGACCATGAGCTTTTCTGAGTTGGAGACCAGCTGAATAATCTCGGGGTAGCCTGAGAATCCCTGGGGTGCTGGGAAAGGGGGGGGGCCTCAAAACCACGACGAAAGAGTTGAGCTGTGTCCATCCAAGTCCCGAAGGGAAGACCTGAAACCGGACGGGCAGAACAAGCGGACAACTTTCAGGGGTGCTCGGGCGTCCTTGAAACTGCTAGTGCGCAGCTTCACCCCCTGAGAGGCAGTTTTGGGGGGAAGAGCTCGGTTGCACAGCACTGGGAACGGGGGGGGGACTCGCGGTTAGGCCCGCGGCAGGCCGGGGAGGAGGCGGCTCCCTCCACGGCCGCCCAGGCTGGGGGCGCATGGAGTGGAGGTCCTGGAAACTGCCCATCGGGGGGAGGCACACGGTCAGTAGTCCCGGACCGGGGGTGGGGGCCTCGGAGGCTGGACTGTGCTGTGTGTGGCCCCATAGGAAGGAGGGGGTGCAGGGGGCGCCCCCGGGGGCTCGGCCTCGTCCTCCACCTCGCTCTCGTCGCTGCCAGCCAGCTGGTCGTGGCCCACGAAGCCGCACTTCTCCTCGCTCATCTCCTCCGGCTCCGCCCACGGCTGCTTCTCCCCCGAAGCAAAGACCCCGTAGAAGATGACGCCCCCATAGTGCACCAGGGAGGCGATGAGGAACACGTACTGCCACTCCTCGCGAGTCTGGGGGAGACAACAGGAGGTCAGCGCCTCTGCAGGCCGCCGCAGGAGGATGGCCGCCTTTAAAGATACATAGAGGGGCCTGAAAAGATGGCTCAGCAGTTACCAGGCCTTATGGCTTTTACAGAAGACCCAGGTTCAGTTCTCGGCACCCACATTAGGCAGCTCACGATGACCTGTAATTCCAAGGAGCCCGGCGCCCTCCGGCCTCTGGGGGCACAGCACTCATGTGCACACACACACACACACACACACACACACACACACACACACACACACACAAATAACAGGAGGCCAGATGTGGCAGAGCACAGAGGCAGATGGATCTCAGTGAGTTCGAGGCCAGCCTGGTCTACACAGAGCTCCAGACCAGCCAGGACTATATAATGAGACTCCAACTTTAAAAAAAATAGGGTTGGTGAGATGATTCAGTGGGTAGAGAGGCTGCCAACCCTGGCGACCTGAGTTCTACCCTGGGACCCCATGGTGGAAAGAGGGAACCAATGTATATTCCATACCATAAAAAAGCTCACACATGCTAAGTTAATAAAAAATTAAACTAATAAAAATAGATGTTTTAAGAGATAAAATCTCTGAGTTTGAGGCCAGCCTGATCTACAGAGTGAGTTCCAGGACAGCCAGAGCTACACGGAGAAACCCTCTCTCTCTCTCTCTCTCTCTCTCTCTCTCTCTCTCTCTCTCTCTCTCTCTCTCTCTTTTGGGGGGATTTTCGACTTTTCGAGACAGGGCTTCTCTGTGTAGTCTTGGCTGTCCTAGAACTCACTCTATAGACCAGGCTGACCTCAAACACACAGAGATCCTCCTGCCTCTGCCTCCCAAGTGCTGGGATTAAAGGTGTATGACACCACCGCCTGGCGTGAAACCCCATCTTAAAAAAGAAAGAAAGAAAGAAAGGAAGAAGGAAGGAAGGAAGGAAGGAAGGAAGGAAGGAAGGAAGGAAGAAGGAAGGAAAGAAAGAAAGAAAGAAAGAAAGAAAGAAAGAAAGAAAGAAAGAAAGAAAGAAAGAAAGAAAGAAA